CTGGGTTGCCAGCGCACACTGCCGGCTCATGTTCAGCTTTTCATCCACCAGTACCCCAGAGTACCCTCAAGGCTGCTCTCAATCCACTCTACATCCAGCCTGTCCTTATGATTGGGATTGCCCCGACCCAGGTGCAGGACCTTGCCTTTGCCCTTGCTGAACCTCATACTTGGCTCAGAACAGTGACACACTCCATCTTCATCATAGCCCGTCACAATAATCACTATCACAAAAGACAAAGAGAGGCAGTGTCTGCAACAATCACTTAATCAAACAACACTTACAGAGCTTTTGCAATGATTGAAAATCCCAACAGAAGCTGTAATAGCAACATCTACTGCAGGGCTACTCAGGCTTAACAGTCTTTCCAAGCATCCTTCCCTCTTGATGACTTACGACTGCTGGCCCACAACAGTTCTCCATTCAGATACAGGACTTCAAACGCTCCCTGCCAAGTAACACAGGGAGCAGAAGTTCTCTTGGAGCCAAGAGACCCCCCATGGCCGTAGCTGGCCAGCAACAAGTTCTGTGCAGATGCAGAGTTTCTCCGCAAGTATGACATTAAAGCCCTCGCCGACAGGCATGTCTCCCACGTCCCGTCTCAAACGCGCGGAGGAAGCGGACAGCCCTGCTTGCAGAACACTCTGCTGCAGAAAGGCTGGAGCTGCAAGAATCCTTGTCACGTTGTTTATGGTCTCCCAAAGTATTCTCTCTCAAATTTACGGAAATCTTCCTCAGTAAAAACAGTGCCCTCGGGCTTCTTCTTTTCCACCTTCTTTGGAGGCTGATCTTTAGACTTCCTGCCTCTGTTCTGAGCAAGAATCTTCAGACAATAAGAAAGGAGAAAAACCAATAGTCAGTGTTGTCCACACCAAACCATAAAACGGTGATTTTCAAGCTCACCTGCAGCATCCCTGCTATTCTGCTGGTACCCTGGTATATCCTGGAAAGCCTCCAAGGAAAAGTGAGGAGCAATCACTGATGTTAACCAAAGCAGGTCACTGGGACAGCAGAAAATACCAACCTATTATTTGGAGTCAAATATGGAAGCTACACACCGGTAACTGTCACAGAGCTAGAAACCCCGATTTCAGTTCCTGACAGTTCTGAAACTGTGACCATCTTTTACCCCATCTCTCCACAACACAACCTGAAAACCCAACAAGTCGGTGGAATTCCCTCCGCATTTTCTAATACACCATCACCTCCTTTCACAGCCTCCAGCCTGAGAAACACTGGCCTAAACCACACGGTTTCTTTAGGTAAGTTAACAGCCCGTACCTCATAAACACTGGCCAAGATTCTAGCAGCGTCAGCTATTCTCTTCAGGTCCTGGCACTGGACTCCCTTCTGGGGAAGTCCATTGGTTAAATTCTCAGGTTATAAGAAACATCACACAAGATGCTGTGCAATTCCCATTATATGAGCCAGTAGCACATCTGGCTCCTGGCTAAACAGCCTCCAGCTACTGAGAGCAAATCAACCAGCAGTAGGGACAAAATGTCAACCAGGGCTTCTTTGCCACCTGAAGCTATGAAGTATCTTTGGTAATTAAGAAAAGACAACGTCTGTCAGTAGATTTTAACTAGTATTAGAGAACATTGTAGGGGACAACATATCAACAGGAGTTTAAAGATTAGTTGCTCTGGCAGTGCACACAGAGATTCCTCAAGGCCACTTCCAGCCAGAAACTTGACTCCTTTGCACTGGGTCTAAGATGGAAAACCCGGGGATGATTCCCATTCACTTGTGTTCCTCAATGGAGCAGACCCCCAAACAAAGATGCAACAGTCTTACTTGTTCTGTGATAGCTTTGTTTGCAACAAATCGTCCCTTCAGCATGTACTGCAGGTTTGCTCTCAAGTGATTCACGGCCTTCTTCTTGTGATACTCCTCTAGGTCAGAGCAGAGTGGGACAAAACACATTAGCTGCTCGCCCGGGCAGCACGCAAGGAGACCCTGGGGGATCAGCAAGCAGCCGGGAGAAAGACACCACCACAGCACCGGGACAGGGCTGCTCCCCCAGGTCGGGCAGCAGAAGGGCACCCAGGAGGACGGGAAGGGTTAGATACAAGCGATCGGGAGGATGGCTGCCGTACACACGCGGGGACGCGGGGCGAGTGGTGTGGACTCACCTATCGCCGACTTCACGACTCTGCCCTTGACCGTGGCCTTGTTCCTGCCGGGCTCCGGCACCCTCTTCCTCCGCCTCGCAGCTCCCGCCGCCCCCTGGCCGTCCTGCCCCCGCTGGAGTCCCGGCGGGGCCTTTCCCCGGCCTGCAGCG